TTTTTTTAAAAAAACAACTGTAGTTATGAGTTTTAGCTAAGTATTAAGAATTGGTACATGAGTGTTATATAGCCGTAGCAATAGCACTTAGACTTATATACACAGTGTTTTATAGCCCTCCCTAAGCAGTTTACAGCGTGAGCATATTGCCCCCAGCAATCTGGGTCCTCATTTTACCTATCTCAGAAGGATGGAAGACTGAGTCAACCTTGAGCCAGTCAGGATTGAACAAAGTGAGCAGAATTAGCCTGCAAAACTGCATTCTAACCACTGTGCCACCATGGCTCATTATATATGGTTTATGAATGGTAAAAACTTTTTAACCAAAGATGAAGATGACTGTAAACCAGTGTTTCCCAACTTTGGTGGTCTGAAGATGTGTGGACTTCAGTTCCTAGTATTCCCCAGCCAGCAAGCTGGTTGAGGAATCCTGGGAACTGAAATCCACCCATCTTTAAACTGTGAAGGTTGAGAAACACTGCTGTATTGGGAGACTTTAGTGATAGCAATATACTAAGTTTGGACAGACAGAGATGACAGACAGCTAAAAGCTTTTTGGCACTGAAATGGGAGATACTTAAATAGAATCAATTATTCAGAAGAATGATGGGTTCATCTTTTATTTTAAGGACATGGACTACTATCTATTAGGGATGCTTTATCTTGTAGACTTCCATGTTGTTGGCTGAAACAGCTCCTTCCATAGAAGCTATGATTCTATGTGCAATTGCTCCTATCCTGTTCAAGTCCAAACATGAATAGCTTGTGATACTTGTAACAGGCCAGCAGACTCCAATTAAAGCAAGTTTTTCAAGATAGATTTTCACATTCTACATTCTATAATTAAAATATGTATGTTGAAAAGAATACATACATGATAAGACATGTAAACAGTGTATAGAAGGGATTAGATCGTTATTCTATTTTAAACACAGATGTAGGTTTTTCTTACTTCCTTGTGCTCATCTTTACTAGAAAAACCACATTTGTGTGAGGAGTACAAACCATTCTCTGATTTCAACAACAAAAAGACATTGTATGGAAGTCTCAGAAGGTACTTGCTATCTTCCAAAAAGGAGATATAACTCACCATCTGGAAGGAACAGGTAGAAATAAAGTCAATAGAAAAAGCAAAGGAAGCTTTTCTAACTCATTTCTATATTATGTCATAAACCATTTTTTCAGATTACTATGACAATAGTTACTATAATTCCCTTTTTAAATTGGTCGCAAATTTAGGAAGAATTTTTGGAACTGGTTTGCCATTACCTCTTTCCTGGGGCTGAGGGAGAATGACTGGTCCGAGATCCCCCAGCTGGCTTTGTGCCTAAGACAAGAGTAAAACTCACTGTCTTCTGAGATTTCTAGCCGATGCCTTAACCACTACAGTAAACTGACTCTCCTCATCATCCCTTCAAGTATGTTAATTATACTTTATCATTTGAACCTACTATTGCCCATAAAAGATTCTTTTCTGATTGAAAAAAAAATCTGATTGTGGATTTCCAGCCTCAAAATATTGATTTCTCTCTTCCTGAATTTTACAGAGGTAATTTGTTCCACCTCTATGACTTTTTCAGCTACAATGAAACACAATGTTATAAATAAGTAAAGTATTATATTAATAATTATTGATAGGAATTGCCGATAGCAAAAGTGTATCAAGGGATTTAATGTGAGAGGATGTGAATATTATGCTGTTAGAATTGTTCTGATTTTCTTCTTACTGTTTTAGGGTGTCAGATGGAGAGATATTTTTAATCCTACATCTGCCCCATCAAGCTTCTAGCATCAGGTTTCTAGAAATTTCAAAGCTTCTGACATTTAATTTACTGATATCTAAATCCCCACTAAATTCCACTTCCTTGCTGTATTTGCAGTGGCTGGATTCTCTTAGCTTGATTCAAATAGAATTTAACTCACTTGGTTCTTGAAAAGACATAAATCATGTATGGGTCCCTCAGGAAGGATTGAAAATCCAAGGTCACTCTTTAAAAAAAGTAGAGCATTTTGGATTTAAAAATTAGAGTCCAGTTAATGCTGCTTGATTGCTTTGTTTTTAGAGAACTAATTCTTCAAAACAAAAAGGAAGAAACCTTATCCCAAATATTAGAATGTAATTAATTATTTGGTAGGTGATGTATTTGTTTTTATCTAAAAATTGCAATCCTGGTTTCTGATATATAATCTTTCACTACCTTCCTTTTGCTCTAATACAGAAAGCTGACTTCAGTATTCAGAGATTCATATATGTGGTCTTCTGTTTAAGTCCCCATTTAGTCAAGTGCTGGTTCATTGGCACAAATACAACTGATATGAATAGAAATGTTTGCCACCATGAGGCTACCTTCCCAGTTTTGCCTGTGGGAAAAACCAAATCTGATTATAAAAGGTTAACATAGAAGCAGTTTTAAACCTCTGCAAAGGAGAATTTATATCAGAGGTGGTATTTAGCAGGTTCTGACCAGTTCTGGAGAACCGGTAGCGGAATTTTTGAGTAGTTCAGAGAACCTCTGACTGGCCCTGCCCTCATCTATTCTCTGCCTCCCAAGTCCCAGCTCATCGGAAGGAAATGGGGATTTTGCAATAATCTTCCCCTAGAGTGGGGAGAGAATGGAGGTTTTACAGTTTATTTCCCCTGGAGTGGGGAGGGAATTGAGACTTTACAGTATCCTTGCCCTGCCTTGCCCACCAAGTCACACCGAGAAAGCCACACCACGTCCACCAAGCCATGCCCCTAGAACTGGTAGTAAAAAAAATTGAATGCC